TATTTAGGGCCCCCACCCGCCGCTCAGGGGTGGGGGACGGGGGGAGGACAAAAGGCCCCCCCTTATTGATTTTTAGGGCCCCCATCCACTGCTCAGGGGTGGGGGCCAGGGCGAGGACAAAAGGTGTCCGTCCCCCAATTTTTATTTAGGGCCCTCACCCACTGCTCAAGTACAGGCTTTAATAGAAACTGACACTTTTATAAATTATACTGGCAACACCCCCCCTGGCTGTCAAACAACAGGTCCTGTTACTTCCTGGTTTGATTAGCTCAGTGGAGCTAAACTCACGAGACAGCAATTGCCCCGATCACCTGCCTTGCAAATACTTTTCATTGAGCTGTATTGGGATGTCTGTGGTTTCTTGTAGAGATGCATTGAAACGCAACTTGAGCTCAAACATGTAATGCTACCTTTTGTTTTAAGTATATTGAAGATTACAGAACAAACAAGTTCAAATAAGAATTCTTTATGTTCTGTCCCCAGAAGGTGAGAAAGAGATGGTCCAGATGGATATATGCAATGAAATCATAAAATATTACGCCAAGCTGTACAAATCTTAGGTTTGATCAGTCCATTCATCACACAAAAAGGACCAGACTAATAAGTATGGGTGCAGGTTGGTCATGAGCCACTCCCTTTTGTGGTTAAAAAAGGAAATAGGTGGGGGGCGGGGCATGACAGCACACAGGAGCAGTCGCAAGCTCTGACAAAACCAAGCAAAACCTCACATATACCAAGCACACCCAAATAACCACGAAAGGGCCAGAAAATAACAGGGGACGTCCCGCTGAACCCGTCGATACCGTTCTTCCAACCCGTGACAAGAAAAACCCGCAGTCGCGGCCCCAAGGCCTACCGAGCAGGAAACCTCCAACTTGAGGCAGACTGGGCTCCCCGGATTTGGAGCGACCTCGGCCTAACCGACCCGAACACACACATAACGGAGGAGATGGGATGGAAGTCCCAGAAACAACCAACAAATACTCCCCAGACTCACGGGGACATTGGCCAGATGCTGCGGGTGCCAGCGCCAAACACAGCCCAGAACCAAAGAGGATGGAGGGGAAACTCACCACGAACAAGCCCTAGCAGAAACCAGGAAAACTACCCCATACAGGGCAGAAGACACAATCCCAGCAACAAAGGGGGACATGCAGGACATACTAACTAACTTTCAAAGAAACCTCTGACATCATCCTATGTTGCCACTCGCTAACGAACAAAATGGGCTTACTAACCGCCCTTAAAGGAAAAACACCGTACAAGTTTGAAACAAGCACCATATCAGTCTTTCAGGACTTGAGCAGATCTACACTGTTATGGCGAAAGGGAATGTAGCCCGTCACGAAACTCCTCCAAACCGCAGGACTAACGTACAGATTGTCAACCCCCAGAACGCTGCTGGTCACGAAGGACGGGAAAACGTACAAGGCATCAGACCCTGAAGACAGCCCTCCCTTACTGACAGAACTGGGCCTCACTCCATAGGGGCTACCCGCTCCAGGAGCACCCAGCACTCGCCCGCAAGGCACAGAGGACACCCCTACTCTCACGGACAGAGAAGGAGGAGGCCCAGAATCTTGAACTCACAAAAAGCGCACAATGTTCATGTTTATGTTTTAAATATGTTTTAAAGTTCGAATATACATAACCACACACTCTCTCTCAGGCTCAAGCCACGAGGCGGAAGCTCCGCGATCCGACTACATAACTCCCTTCCCCCTCCTAGTGCCCCGGTCAAGGGGCACAATCAACCATGGAGCACTACACCCCACACCGGGAGCCTGACAAATAGGGGACACATAGCCAAAGCATATAGCCACACTAGGCAGATCCCAATGACAAAATAGGCATCCACGCTCCGACCTACAACCCATCCCCATATAGACGATGGCCTTTTAGCTAGGCAGAAAAACACCTTGAATTACCCCTACACATTGAGGGACGTGAAAGACCCTACCACCATAAAGCGACGAGGGTCCGCTAGACTAATACGACAGGACAATACAAGTTAAATTGTCCCAGTCTTCCCTCTCCTGTCACGTTAATAGGCAACTCCGACACGTGGAGATAAGGGACACCTGACATAATGGGGGAAACAACACACCCACCAGCATACGGGGCGACCAAACACGCAGAATAGGTAGTGGGACAGATGGCCTAAAAACTTCAAACCCAAAACAGTCACCACATCCCCATAAAGGCCCAGAGGAGGCGGGCTGAAAGCTAGCCGGATAGAAGGCATGTGTGGGTGTGGTGGGTGTAGGTGTCATAAGTGGGTGTGTCAATTAGAGTAAGGGATGGGTGTGGTCCTTTATATACCAGTCATTTTGTCTCCCTTACCTCAGCCATCTTAGATTTAACGGCGTGGTAACATCTCCCTCCCTCCCTCCCTTTGTTGATACTTTGGTATCCGTTTCCGTCTTACTAATTTATTTCTTTTGTCACAGCTGGCGGGTATGGTCCTTGCCGAACCAGTGGAAAAGGAGTGCATTGGACGAAGGAATGCTGGGTCTGGTCCCTCCCCTAACCTCGGGCAATGGTTTGGTATTTGGGCGTGCCCTCCGTGCCAGGAAAAGCGGCCAGGGGTTGGCATGGGGAATTGGAGGGCCAAGGTGAAGGCCAATTAGCTTGGACGAGGGGGGAGGGCAGGTGCCCTGGAAAGAGGTACTCAAAAGGTTATTATGGTCCGGTTGGCAAGGACGGGTTTTGAGCTAAAAATATACGCTCATATTAAACATAATTGAATTGGTTTTACTTATTATATATATAAATAAAGCTGTGGCCTGTTTATACCACATTTATGTCTCTGTTTTAATTGGGGATGGGGTAAGGTGGGGGCGGGGTGGGTGGAGCAGTTTTGGTGATCATAAGGGGCACCACACGTTAACCACTACCTGCACACATGGTGATGAATCACCATATCGCAATTTCCAGCCTAGCAATTAACAATACTTTTGAAGGCAACTCGTTATAACCCACCAGTCCACTATATAAAATAATGTGCATTTCATGTTATAGCCTTAACACTATTACGCCGTCGCCATTATAAAGGGCTTTAAAGCCGTTATGGTGGCATTGAATGCCATAATGGCTTTCTGCCCCAGGAGCTCGGCGGTACTCCCCCGGCAAATCAGGCCCCCGGGGGCCATGTGATCTCAAAGAGCGATCACATGGCCCCCTATAGCTGGCTGTGGATCTGCCAGCAGGGGAACTGTCTGAAATGTCAGACAGTCCCACAGCTGGTGGGTAGTGTAAAAAAAAAAGTATTTATATATATATATATACACACACACATCTTGTATATTTATGTAATGTGATACGTAATGTATTTTAATGTTAATATAAGTACATATATTAGTATTAAAATACATTTAGAATGACGTTACACATATATAAGATATGTATATTATATATATAATACATCTATATATATTTTATATTTATATATACACACATATAATTACAATAATTAAATAAAATAATTAAAATATTTTTATTAACATTTAAACAAATTGTATATACATATGTAATTTCATCCTAACTGTATTTTGTTATTAATATATATATATATTGGTAACAAAATACACTTAGAATGACATTCTATATATATTTATCTATATATAATATACAAATAACCGCAAATATATATATATATATATATATATATACACACATACACATAAATATATATAATTACATAAATAACTACATAAGTGTACACGTAGACTTTAAATACATATATATGTATATATATTAAAATTCTACGTGTATATTTAAGTAATCTTTTAACATAATTATGTGACTTAATTAATTAAAATTTGAGTGACATGCCTGACAACCCAGGCAGAAAGTGCAGAGAGTATGAATTGCAAGCACTCTATTTAACCCTGTAACTTTCCAAGACAGCATAAAACCTGTACATAGGGGGTACTGTATTACTCAGGAGACTTCACTGAACACAAACATTAGTGTTTCATGGTAACTTTTTTTTTTTTACAACAATGATATTTTTAGTAAAAGTGAAGTTTTTTGCATTTTTCAAACATGAACGGCACTTTTACTGACAATGTTATTGTTGTAATATGTTTTACTGTTTTAAAACTTATTTTTGTGTTCAGTGAAGTCTCCCAAGTATAACAGTACCCCCCATATACAGTTTTTATGGTGTTTTGGAATGTTAGAGAGTCAAATATAAGGCTTGAATTTCATTTTTTTCACATTGAAATTTGCCAGATTGGTAATGTTGCCTTTTGAGACTGTATGGTAGCCCAGGAATAAGAATTACCCAGTGTTTGTGACTAAGTGGCTACTACAAGAGACTAGACATCCCCACTTGCAATACCTTGGGTAGTCTACTTTTGCAAATGGTATGCCATCATGGGGTAATTCTCATTCCTGGGCTACCACACGGTCTCAAAGGTAACATTACTAATCTGGCAAATTTCAATGTGAAAAACCTGAAAAATGGAATGTGCTATATTTGACTCTGTAACTTTCCAAAACACCATAAAAATTGTTAATGGTACTGTTGTACTCGTGAGACTTTGCTGAATCCAAATATGTGCTCTTTTTGCAGTAAAAGCTAACAGTATTATGACATTTACAGCTAAAATGTGAGGCGGAACTACAATTAAAAAAAAAAAAATTCTCACAGTTTTTTTTATTTTATTCATAATAAATTATGTTCCATATATGAATAGTTCATGTGAAATGAAAGCCCTGTTTCTCCTGAACAAAATGATATATAATAAGTGTGGGTGCATTTAATATGAAAGAGGTGAATTACGGTTGGACAGACATATAGCGCAAATTCCATTTTTTGTTTACATTTTGTTTTGATCAGAACGTGCACTATTGACTCCGTCCTGAAGGGGTTAATCCTATGCTGTTGTGGCATAAACAGAAATGTCTGTATCACTATTATTGCACTGAAAATAAAGAATTTATAGAAAAAGATAGGAAATAGGTATAAAGTATAAATTACTGCGACACACCAGTAAATAGTCAACATTTGTTTATTAATTCAAAACTCATATGACATAATGAGGTAATGCAACCTACCCAAGTACTGTGTTAATGTAATAGTACAAAGTGACAAAATATTAAAAAAGAACAATAACAACATAAAACACACAAAGCAAACCTATCAAATGAGCAAAAAAATAAATACAAAAAGAGAGAGATGCAAACTCTGATTTAATGTCTTCTTATGACAGGTCTTCTCCCACGGTATTCGCATACCAGCAACTGAAATCTTTACTAGCAAAAATGTCACCTAGAGTGAACCCTCTTGGGCAGAGCACTTGTCATTTGAAAAAAAATGTGTACGCAAATGCGACCGAATAAGAAGTTAATGAGTATGTTATTAGAGATGTGTGCCCTTGAGATCCCAGCTTCGTGACTGCATGGCATAGTAACTTAAAAAGACTCTGATGAATGGTTGCCGATTTTTCAAGCACATAAGGGCCTAACGTCCTATATACTATATAGGTGGTACCTGGCCCCGACAAGATTATCATGTCAGCTCTTCTCCTGCTTCATACATGCCAGGGACCCTGCTCCATATTTGGTGGTCTTGCCCTCACATTGCTCCCTATTGGGGCATAGTAACCCAACTGTTAAGTCACTACTCCAGTCACACATTAACCCAGACCCCAGGTGTCTCTTCTATCTCTATTGCCGTACCCATTACCATGTATAGACCAAAAATTGCTTTCCCAAGTGTATTATATGCAGCTTCTACTCTGCTTGCTTGGTCATATAAATCTCAAACAGTGACTCGCAACCAAGCCTTAAAACATAGATTAAATAGATTTCCCTCAATTTGACATATGAAAAAAATGGAGTGGTGGTATGAATTTCTACAAACACATCCACAGTATAATGTATGTATTGGTCTTGAGTTGACATAGCCAAGGATGAATAATGTTAAGATAAGGCCAGGGACTAATGAAAGTATTTAGAAAATTGGGCAGACTAGATGGGCCGAATGGTTCTTATCTGCCGTCACATTCTATGTTTCTATGTTAAGGCCTACAGACCACAGACCTGCTGTGGCAGTGCAGGGTATGAGGAAGTATGTATGTGTAATGAATAGAGATATATGTACATCATTGTTACCACTGCTTTCATTTAACTTTTGTACCATTTTTCCTCCTCCACTCCCATTTTTTCTCTTCCTTAGTACCCACTGGTTAACACAGTAATTTCTGTAAAATGTGTATCTAATCATTGTCTCATAATATCTGTAACTATCCTGAAAAACAAAACAATAACATTTCAAGTTTAAAAAAGGTTTAACATTTAAATACTTTCTTATTATATTGCTTATTTTTTTGTTAATATTAATATATTTTAATATTTGAAAACAATATATATTTTAAAAGTCTATCCATAAATATGAAGTCATTCGAATAGTTTATTTAAAATTATTACATTAAGGCCATAGCAAAGGCTTACTCTGCTTACTGAATAGCAATTTCTCATAGACTTTGATGGCGTAATTGCTATTAAGTAAACAGAAAGTAAACTCTTACTCTGCTATTATTATTATTATTATTATTATTATTTTATTATTTATATAGCGCCAACAAATTCCGTAGCGCTGTACAATGGGTGGACTAACAGACACATAATTGAGATCAGACCACTGACGTACAGGAACAGAGGGGGTTGAGGACCCTGCTCGATGAGCTTACATGCTAGAGGGAGTGGGGTATATTGACACAAAGGGTTAAAGTAGGGGAATTAAATAGTTTGTTACAGAAGGGTTTATTGAGTGCTTGGTAGGTCATTTTTGACAGGTGCAGGAACGGAGTCATGGGGTGGGGGATGAGAAACCTGCTGACAGTTTAATTGATACGCTTTAATGAAGAAGTGAGTTTTCAAAGATGCTATGAGAATCCAGTCCCAGGAGATGTTTTGTGGTGCACATTGATTATTAAAGGATCACTAAAGTGACAGGAAAACAAAGCGGTTTTCCTGACACTATAGTGCCCTGGTGGTGCCCCCACCCTCAGGGTCCCCCTCCCGTGGCACTGAAGGGGTTAAAACCCCTTCAGCAGCTTACCTTAATCCAGCACCGGGCTCCCTCGGCACTGGTGACCTCTCCTCCCCCGCCAACGTCAGCTCCCCCGTCTGACGTCGGCGGAGACGAATGCACATGCCCGACAATGCCACACGCGCATTCAAAGTGTCCATAGGAAAGCATTTCTCAATACTTTCCTATGGACGCTCTGCGTGATGGAGAAAGCTAGCACCTATAGCCAGGGAACTGAGAGACTCAGGAATAAGATACCGCTGGGGGGTGGAGGGTTCCCTCCTAAGCGAAATAGAGGGTGACAGTATGATCCTGACATCAGAGGATGACCCAGAGCCCTTTCTGCAAAAGATGAGGATGGCCTCAACACAGGGAGCCCCCCACACCAACCAAGAGAACCGGAACAACAGAGAGTCCGAATGAGAATGACTGCACACAGAGCAAGCCAACCAGCTTCAAAGTGAAGAGACTAATCCCAGCACACAGAACCACAGAACCAGAACCACAACCACCACCAGGGAAGAAAAACCAAACAAAAATGGTCACCAACAGAGACTCCTTATGGTAAACAAACCTGACCTGCTGACCCACCAAGATCGGCCGCTGATCCTGAGGAAAACCACAGAGGCAAATATGACGTCTATCTGGTGCCCCGCTAAGTACCAAGCAGACACCCCTATGTGACAATCATAACAGAGACCCAGGTGCCAGCACACCTGTATAACCCACAGAGACTTCCTATATACACCGCAAATGGACCTACCTAAATATACTGCATTACTAACAAATGACATCACTAACTATACCGCATAAGTGTATAAATGGCACTACTACACATTTAGCTGCATTCTTAAACATATCGCATTACTTGATATATACCATAAATGTATTATAGCGTTGCTACATACGTTACATATCTACATGGACAGCAGCACTTCACAAGTCACAGTGGTAGACAGGGGCAGACTGAGAACCCTCAGGGCCCCCGGGCAAAATAAATCAAGGGCCCCCTTACAGGCCCCACCCATACTCTGCAGCAAGCGCCACCCTTGTTCCGCCTCCAGCCACACCCTACACAATCTTTAGACACAAGGAACAAAAGGGCAATAAGCCCTTCGAGGCCCCAGTAGAGACTACAATTGAGGGCTAATGGGCCATGGAGGGGAGTCTTTCTAGCGGAGGCTATCTCAGTGTCCTTTAGAGAGTGTGTTAGAAAGAATCCCCTCCAAGCCCCATTAGAGACTACAATGGAGTCTAAAAGGCTTGGAAGGGGGTCTTTCTAACAGAGGCCATCTCAGCGTCCATTAGATATCCCCTGCTGGAAACAGTCGCCTCCAGGCCCCAGTAGAGACTACAATTGAGGGCTAATGGGCCATGGAGGGGATTTCTAGCAGAGGCTTGAGTCTAATGGGGCCTGGAGGGTGGTCTCTCCAACACTCTGGTTCCTATTCACAATATAGCAACACAACATAGCTCGCTGATACCTAGGCCAAGTTGGCTCCTCTTACCTTAATTACTGTTGCTGGCTAGCAGTCTGTGGGCTGGCTGGCAGTCTGTGGGCTTGCTGGCTGCGGCTGGCAGGCTGTGGGCTTGCTGACTGCGGCTGGCAGGCTGCGGCTTGCTGCCTGCGGCTGGCAGGCTGTGGGCTTGCTGGCTGTAAGCCTGTGGCTTGCTGTAGGCCTGTGGGCTGGCTACTGGGGCACTTGTAGATTATTTAAAGAAATAATCAATGCACAATAACCACTACTGCTCCAGAGTAAGTAGTCAAACCGTTTAAGAATTTACCTGGGGTCTGCTGGGATATGGGGCTGTAGTAAGGAATAGGAGCAGTGGTGCAATGTGTGTGAAAGGTTCAGTGTGTGTGTGGGGGTGTATTGTGTGAATGTGTAGGGTGTGTGGGCTGTGCATGTGTGTGGCAATGTTAGTATGGGGGGCTGTGTGTATATGGGTGGGCAGTGTATGTGTGTGTGTGAGGCAATGTGTGTAAATGTGAATGGTGTGTATGGGGGCAGTGTGTGAATGTGCATGGTGTGTGTGTGTGGGGGCAGTGTGTTTATGGGGCTAGAGTTCACTCTCACCACTGCGACCACCAGGAATCCCTGAGTTGACTCTCTCAAGAGCGGTAACGTTGCCATGGTAACCACGGCAACGCTCTGTGCTCGCGCAAGAAGGACCCAGAGGAGCTGCAGGGTGAGCTCCCAGGTCCTCTCTTCCTCCCTCCCCTGCCCGCACGGTGCCTGCGGACAGGGGAGGGGGGACAATTGCCCCGTTGCCCCCCTGGATCCACCAGTGATATATACAGGCCTTCTGTGTGCCTTTTGTCTCCCCCAGTCCCTCTGTATGTTTCTTTCTCCCCCCTCCTTCCCAGTCTCTCTTACCCCTCTGCCTCTTTCTCCCTCTCTTCCACTATTTTTCTCCCCCCTTTCCATGTCTCTCTCCCCCACATCTCTCTCTCTGTCTCTTTCTCCCCCTCCCCATCTCTTTCTCCCCCTCTGTTTCATTCTTCCCTCTCTTTCTCCCCCCTCCTCCCCAACTCTCTATTCCCTCTCTTTCTCCCCGTGTCTCATTCTTCCCTCTCTGTCTCTTTCTCCCCCTCCCCATCTCTCTATTCCCCCTCTTTCTCCCCTGTGTCTCAT